CTTTCCCTCTTTTTGTGGAACGAGTTACAGGCCAAATCTTCTTTTCCACAATAAGATTAATAGTGTGTGTTTGGAGTTAATAAGAAACAGGGCTAACCTTAAACTAGCCCTCCTTTATGTCATTATAAGACTTAGTGTTCTCGTGATGTCATGCGAAATAGAAAGAAAGGAGAAATAATTTGAACAATTGATTTTTGTCTTTTTTTCATTCACATTTTGGCTTAAATACATCTAAAACAAAATCAGTTCTTTTTTTAAGAAACAGTTCTCAGTGGGTTATGTTTCTATATCTTGTGTCATCATTCTTTGCTAAATAACTGTGGCAGCCATTTGGAGCGACACTTGTAAGAGGCTCCACCCTCATCATTTAAATCAGGTACTTTCTGGGGCGGATGCAGTGCCTACATTTCCCTGGCCGTACCCAGCTCTGGTTATGTAAATTTACATAACTCCTGTTTCCACGTCCTGCAGTGGAAACACCTCCTGTGACCTAATGTGTCGAGTCGGAAAAAAAACCTGCAGGATGCTGCAGCTTTCATTTCACTTTTACATTAAATCCCAGAATTTTGACAGACTATTATACAGACATCTGTTCACTATTTATCCACAGTCATTTTAGGTGTGTTTTCCGAGCAATAACCTGCTGTGACCTGCCTGCAGGTCCTGGTCCAGATGTTGAAACACAACTGCAGCTCATTCTAACAGCCATTACAGTCATTTGATATGGATTATATAGTGTAGAAGGTGCTGACTCTAAGGATCTTATCCTTTATCTCTCTGCTTCCCATTCACACTTTTATTTCTCCCTCGCCTCCCTTTACCTTTTTTTCCTTCTTTGTCTGTTTTATTTTCCGTGTTTTTTTCCTTCTCTACGATCTATTACGTACATTTTTGGGGGTTTTTTTGTCCACATTTCAAATTGGTGGTCCTTTACTTTTAAGCCTGTCTTGTCCATTTTTTTCCGTCTCTAATGTCTCTTTCCTTCTCTTTCTTTCTTTTTTTCTCCAGGTGCTGAGGATAATGGTTGTCTCCCTGCATCAGGCTGCCCTGACGTCTGCACGTGCTCAGACGGTGTGGTGCGCTGCAGCAACAGGGGGCTGCACTCTCTGCCCAAGGGCATTCCCAAGGACACCAGTGAGCTGTGAGTCATGGTTTCTCCAATGCACGTGCACATAAACACCTCCCCCCCCACACACACGCACATACTCAATAAGGCATTTGAGTAAAGCCTCCTCTGTAACATGCAAAGTCACAACCACTAACACTTTACTGCAGTGCAACATTGATGCAGCAGTTTGCCCTGCCCTGCACAAAGAAACGACACAGAACAGAATAGAACGGAGTAGAAAAAGAATAGCCAGATAAAAACGTAATACTAAAGGTATTAAAAACAGTATCACCCCGTATATGCAAATGTAAACAATGTTTTGCTTCATATATTCAGTTTGTGTCCATTAGATTTGTGCTACCAAAAATGAATCATTAGGAAAGTACGGTGGCTGAGAGGAAAAATGAATTGCCTTGTAATAAATTAAAGAGACAGAAAGAAGAGCTCATTCAGGTTAAACCTCCTGTTGTACATTTACACTTGATTTATCGTTATACTAAATGAATATTTGTTGGTGTATTGCTCTACCAGACCACGTGTTTTGAATCATCTGAAGCACCACCACTGCAAATGTACTGTAAAAATTTACTATATTGTCATCAATTACAGTTTTGTGCCATGTTAGATTACTGGCCATCGTAACTTATATTATTATATCATAATTGTTTGTCTCTTTGTAATGAATGTAATGATTGTTAGAGGCCACTAAATTCAAAGGAATCTCCAGTGCTGACAAATAAACTAATCAAAATCAGGGTATAAAACGGTCTCGCTTTGAGAATTAAAAACAAAACAAAATGTCTGGACCAAAGTCTGTGGGAGCAAAGGTGAATTATTACTGTGAAACGTGCACTGAAAACCTGTTAGCGATGAAATAGGTCTGCACTGCGAGGTCAATAGCAGTGATTAGGTATTGATCAGCCAGAAGAAGACACTCCATCAAAGTGTCATCATGACCTACTTATGACCTGAGAGAGGGAGACAAAGAGTGTGAGTTAAAGACCAGAGAATGTTAGCATACACTCCCTGTCTGTGTGCCTATATATATATATTAACACATGTAGCAGCATTTAGCTGTCTGCCCTCAAAGTTAAACTGGATCTCTGATATTGATGATAATAATTTTGTGCACATAAACATGGATGAAAACAAACGCCTCTGTGTGTGTGTGTGTGTGTGTGTGTGTGTGCTGGATGTCTTCTGTGCTCACTGTAATAACTCTCCTTGCAGTTACCTGGAGGGTAATCTCCTGACGTCTGTGCCCAAGGAGCTGGCATCTCTGAAGCAGCTGTTACTCGTGTACGTGTCACTAACAACACCTCATACGGCAGACGTTCAGCTGACAAAACATTTTATGATATAATTGTAACATATGCAGCTTCACGAAATATCCTTTCTGTCTATTTGTGTCCAACCAGAGACCTGAGCAACAACAGCATCAGCACCCTGGCTCCATACACCTTCAGTAACATGACCCAACTGGCCACGCTGTAAGTTACGCTGCTTTACTTCACACACGTGGCGAAAAGTGAAAGAAATTTGTGCTTTTCTAAAACCATTTTTTTTATGATAATTGAGAAATTGTGATAAACAGTAGCCCCTGACCCAGTGGGAAATCAGGCTTGTGTTTGGCACTGCAAGTTTGAATCCCAGTTCCAGCAGGTCAGCGTCAAAGTACCCCCTCCCTCCCTACCCTCAGGGTAGTTTCATTAATTCAGATGACACATTTTGTTGTCTGTGTTTCCTCTGTATCTTTTATTAAGTCTCTCTGTAACCTAAGGTTCATGGTTCTTTTTTTGCTGACGTCTCAGTAAATGTCACAGTTCTAGATGTGTGAGTTCGACCATTCAAGTTTTACGGCTAAACATATAAATAAAAATGAGCTTTTATAGTAGGTCAATAAGATGTTTGTGATCATGTTTCTACATGTTCAGTTTTCTTCAGACACTTGTGTCGTGGCAGATAAGATAATATTTCACATCAAAAATAACATTTTGAACAGATGTTAAACCTCCTGTTCTCTTTGGCCAGTTAACCATTTATACTTAGAACAGGAACATTATGATATTATTGCTTTTTCCAGCTTTTAGTATATTGATTAAATGTCTTGGCTTTTATATATATATATCCTAACTGGACTCGCGTGTGAATAAAAGTTTGACAGGGCAACATTTCCTTCCCTCCTTGTTTCAGATTTCATGTAGCTGCACTGGTCCTGTCCAGTTCTACCACAGAGTTTTACTGTTAGCCCCCAGATAGCATCAGTGGAACACGTTCCATGTGAAACACTGTGCTAAAGCATAAACACACCGTTGGTTCACATAGTAAAAAGGTGGAAGAGAGTGTTTTTTTTCTTACTTTCCACAGTGGATTTTCCAGTCTTAGGGTTAATCTGTGGACTTTGCTGGATGCAAGGATTCTTTCTTTTATGTTTTTTTTTTTACCTGTTACTGGAAGTGCAGATTTTTTTTTCATCCTTTTTCTTCTGAGATGCCTTTAAGCCTCTTAATAACCTGGCACTATGATTCTTGGAGGTTCATGCAGGGTCAGCAATGAGCAGGGGCTCAGGGGAAGAAAGAAAGAAAGTCGTTGAAATGGCCCTTCAAACTCACAAATGGGAAGTCTGTAAGGCCTCTGTGAAATAGTTCACCCTATTTTCCTCTGTCTGAGTGAAACTATTTACACGTAGGATAGCACAGACCACCAAGTCCTTATGTCATCATAAAGCCACCACACCTGTAATTTAAAGGCTGTGTGGAATAGACAGTATAATTAAACCACAAACCCATGTCTAACTGGGGCCTTGTGATTAGCCACAGTGTTGTTAATTATAGAACAAAAGATTTCAAACGTTTGCAGAATAAAATCAAGTCTGTGCAGGACTTTAAGTCTAAATATTTTATCCAAAGGATTCACTACAGGTTTCTGAAAAAGTTGCAACTTATTGCCTAACATTACAAATATTACCTCAAACGTTGGTAACATCCATCCTTTATCTACAGTTTATGCCTTGGCATGGCCACAGGGGGCACTAGAGCTAATCCTAGAGGTCAATGGCCGAGGGCATGGTACACTCTAGACCAGGGCTCCTCAAAATATATATGTCACAGGACCAGAAATTTGGGGGGCAGACACTTAAATAAAATAAAATAAAATAAATAATAACTTTATTATTTGATGTTTATTTTTATTTCGCGGGTTGAACCGTATGGTTCAAGTTTTTAGACTTGTAGACATAGACAGGTTAGGAGGAGCAACAAGCATTCACACTGACATAGTCTTTTATTGTGTTTCCTTCAGTCTCCTTTATTATGATGCCAATGTAATGAACAATGATGTAAATGCAGTCTTAAAAAGACAGCAATGTGGATTAAACGTCTCTCTTTTAGTTGTTGTTTTTTTTTTTAAATCTCCTCTATTTCCCTTTATTTCTCAGCATCCTGAGTTACAACCAGATCCGCTGCATCCCTGTCCACGCCTTTGATGGACTGAAGTCACTGCGTCTGCTGTGAGTATCCAAGCTCGTCTTTAGATTGAACTCATTAGACCTGGTGTAAATATTTGGTCCCTAAATTAGCAGCAGTCAAGTCATGTGTTAGTTTAGGGAAGTAACATGGATAAAAGAGACAATCGTTCATTTTCTCTTTCGTACTCTGTCCATCTGCTGTGTCAGGTTTGTCTTTCCCTCCTCTCCCTCTCTCTTGTCTCTCTCTCCGCTCTATCCTTCCATTATCTTCCTCTCGTTCTTTCTCCCTCTGTCTTTTCCTCTCCCACTCCGCCCAATTCTGTGTTTGATGTATCGACCTTCAGCCTCTGTGTCCTCACTCATCCATCTTAATGTCCACCCTCTGTCTCTCTCTCTCTCACACACACACACACACAGAAACACACATAGGCATACTGGTGCCCGTAAATATCACCGTCAAACGATCCACTCACACACCTGTGAGACCGTAAACAGCCTTGAACATATGAAACACTCGCTGTACTGTTCAACGGTTCCTGCTCTTTCCTTCTCTTATACACTATTTCAGTCAGATTTGGCTGCATTCCTCCTTGTTTTAAAGGGTTCCAACATTTCCATATCTACATACAAGATATTTAAGAAATGTGACATGCATCAGACACAACAGTTTGTTCCTCTTAAATGAAGTTTATAAGTCAATTATTTACCAAGAATCAACAAAAAACTGGAAGAAAAAAAATTGTACATATTCTATATGACAGTGGTTTTCAAAGTGGAAGTCCTGTATCTAGCCACCAGGGGGAGCTAGGGCGGCCTCAGAAAAAAATGCACCACACATAAACTGCCGCAATCACCAGCTTCTTAGGTTTCCGATGGTACCTGAACTCCCCTTTCATGGCAGCTGCAACTTCTGCATGAAAACGTCGTAATCTATGTAGACCTGGTGGTTTGTTGCATTGCCCCTGTTGAAGTTGTCTGCTTATAGTAAAAAACACAGTGTCACCTAAATGTATAAAGGACAGTGAGAGTATTGAGATTGTTAGCCCAATCCATAGCCAACAGTGAAGCTGGCATTGACTTGACCAGTTTTACCTTCACCTAGAAACCAAACGTATCTTGCAACCTCTGAGCTCCGCCTGTTCCTGTGTGTTAGCTCAGGTCTTGTGTGTCAGTCTAGTCTTCTGGCCTTTTATCCAAACATTGTTTGTAGGTCTTATGAGGTTTCACCCTGCAGAAGTTTGCCAATCTTTTCTTTCTTTATCCTTCTCTACTTCCTTCCTTCCTTGCTTCATTCTTTCCTTTCATTTTAGTTAATGTTGCCGTGGGGACTGCTCCCTGTCTGCCCCCGCGTAGCAACTGGTTGCCAGGCAGCCATCACTGTCACTTCCTCATTACCCACAAACCCCCCACGGGCCAGATCTGTGCAGAGGCAGTGAGACCACCATACATACAGATGCACACATAAAAGACACACACACACACACACACACGCAAGCTCAAACTTCCAAAGAAAGTGAACGCTTTTACACGTGCACACAAACATGCACTTTGGCAATAGTGGTGGTTTGATAGCTGAGCTGTCCCCTGCTGCAGCCCGGCGCTCTAATGGAATCTGAACTTATTATCCAACAGGCAACAGGCTTAGACTGCGAGACACACGGAGGACGCGCACATACAGTCAGAACGAATTGTGCAGCTGTTGCTGTGAGGATGCTGCACCTGTACAGCAACAACTTCAACCATTATCCCAACTTCAACCACAGCCTCAGAATTGACGTGTAGCTTTCGGAATTTAAATACATTTGAATTGACTAATCAAGATCGAAGATACATCGTGTCTTTATGTAAAAATAAATTAATCAAATTTAGAAGCAATATACACTTGGCCAGCAGGATTAGAAGAATCCAAGTCGTACTTGTAAACATGTCCACCAAAACCCAAAGGCAGAAAACAAAGAGCATCCACACACTGGTACACATCACAGCCGGCAGACACAGAGACCCTGTGTTTTCTTCTACACACATCAAAAACACGTGCACACAAATACACATATACATCCACACATCCACGCACTACTCGCACATGCGGGAAAAACCACATGAGTCAAATTATGTAGCGTTTCCAGACTAGCGAACGCTTTATTGCCTGACGAGGAATATAAAAGTTTCTGTTTATTTTCTGCCCGGCTGCCATAAATAATGTATTTATTTTCAATTTAAAAGGAGTGTGATGTTGTCTCTGCAGCTCAGGAACCAACAAAAAATTGAATAATTTAGCACAAGGCAGCCCAGAACCATGCTGCTGCTATAATCTCTCTGCATGTAGGTCGTTATACAGCCCAAATGTCAGTTTCATTTACGTCTAATATGATGGATGCGATGCCGAAAATATTCACTGTTTCATTATTGAGTGTGAGCAGCGGAGAGCGTGACAGGGTGTTCTCCGATGACAGGGACAGCAGTTCAGTCCTGGAACGTTCCACATATTTCTCAGTCAGCTAACCTGTTGTTTATTTATATTGAAGCGGAATTTTTGTTATCTAGGTAAATTTTTTTTCTAGCTTGTCTTAGTTTTGTTTTTTCACACTTTTTGATATTTTTATTTATCTTTTGGAGAAATGTAGATTATAAAGCCAAGTGCTATATTTACCTCAGCGTCTACTGCTCTCTTTGTGTCGTCTTTATTATTTTTGTCTCGCATTTAGCAGTAAAAACACAGTAAAAATGAATACAAAGGTCAATATCCTGTTTTAATAAAAAAAGCAAAAATGCAAGAATTCATGCTTCAAAAGTTTAGTTCTCAGTTTTATACTAATGTGAAGGATCGTGTGCTTTTTCGTTTCCCTCCAGAACTCTCCATGGCAACGACCTTTCAACAATTCCAGAAGGAGCCTTCAATCACCTCACTGCTCTTTCACACCTGTAAGTGCAGCCTCATCTACATGTTCATGTGTGCACGTGTGGGCGATAAACAGAATTAGATAAAAAATAAATAAAAATGATTTTTCATGGCTTCCATACCCTTCCCATTGTTAACCACAATCTGCTCTGAGTTAAAAAAAAAAAACATCCTGTCATGCTATACTCAGTCTTAACAGTAGGGGCATTGGTCCCTAATGCAGTACAGTAGCACTTATTATATTTAAATATTATAAAAGGCATCAATATTGTTCAATATTTCTTTGTGCAATGGCACATGGAAAATATCTGGATAATCGTGTTTGTCAGCATTACATTTAAATTCTCTTAAAAACTCATTCCCACCAAAACTTATTTTTATTTATTAGGATGCATACTTAATTTTCTTTTTTGCCTGTCTTTAAGAAACTGTGCACAAATATAGATAGATAGCCTTTGTTATGGATATTCACATTTGTTTTCTACAAATCAAACTGAAGACAGATGTACAGGAAGCTATGCTATTTTACTTTTAGCATTTAAAATAATAATTCTGTTTGAAAATCGTAAATACTTCAATGGTTATGATTTTCCAGATTTATTCGCAATATATGGTCCTGATGGTTCATAATCTTTAAAACGTGGATGTTTCTATAAGAAGTTCTGGAAACATTCATTTTCAACTGTTTGTTGTCTTTTTGTTTAGGGCTCTGGGTGCCAACCCTCTGTACTGTAACTGTGACCTGCGCTGGCTCTCTCAGTGGGTCAAAGCTGGCTTTAAAGAACCTGGTAAAAAAATAAAAATATAATAAATGCCTTCTTTGTTTTTGGGTAATGTCACATGAGTACAATTCTCTCATCGCTAAATGGAAAAATGCTGTCTTGACCAGGGATTGCTCGATGTACCGGACCTCCTGACATGGCCGACAGGCTGCTGCTCACCACGCCACTCAACAGGTTCCAGTGCAAAGGTAAAAAACTCATCCCTTCTTTTAGATGGAGAAGTGGTGTCTGTGGAATTGTGGACAGATTGAAGCAGTCAGCTTTTTCTGACTGTGTGTTGATACAATTTATAAAGCAAACAATGGCTGAAGAGTGCATACGCCTACAGTATGTACTTCACATAGTCAAGCGCCGGGTTGTAACACTTGTTTGCTTTCTAACCTCACTATCTTTTTAGTGCCTTTGACGCATGAAACAATCTGATCTATCTTTATATTCTTATTTTCCTCATATTTTTGTCCTGTTTTCTGCTGCTTTAACCTTCTTCAGGTCCAGTTGATATCAACCTCTTGTCAAAGTGTGTTCCCTGCTTGGCGAACCCATGCCAGAACAACGGTACCTGTGTCCCTGAAAGTTCAGGATCCTATCACTGCACCTGTCCATATGGATTCAAGGTGAGACTCCCCCTGAGCAAGGCAAAAGAGTGGTTTCTTTATTGACCTTGGGTTAAATGGTGTAGTAACCTGCACCTCGTGGTCTTGACTTTTTACATTTGAATACATCAGGGTTATGAGACTCATTTTGGTTCACGGGTCGCATACAATCTCATTTAATGTAGAGCAGGGAGCAGGACAAGTACAACCATTACATAATTAACTATGAATAACATTATTATATTATTACATATATATATATATATACAATAACGTATATTAAATACTTATACTTATTGTTATTAATTCCTATTTAATGAAATATCATTTTACAAATTTCTTTTTCTAATTATCAAAATTCATTAAGAGGGCCAGATTAAAAACCAGAGCCGGTTTGGGCCCACGGACCATATGTTTGGCACCCCTGAAATACAGTATTAGTGCAATGCAGTGAAAAACTATACAAGGGGTCCCTGACTTGACATCGGGGTATGGTTTCTAGCGGTGGCGTAACTCGAATTTTTCACCAAAGGTTGGAACTTCCGTACATACTCTAACATTACATTGGCCGGGAAACTATTGCTTTTACTTGCAGTTAGTCACAGCGAACAGCAATGAAGACCATTGATTTCTTTATTGTCCTCTACAATTTGTCTGACAAGCAGTGCCATCAGAAGACTCTTGCCTGTTATTCTTCCTCATCTAAATGAGGGATCAAGACTTTCTTAATAGATTTATACGTAGGGGTTGTGGCAACGTAACGGTGAAATGCTGAAGGTAGACATCGTGAACTGAGGAAGCCCTGTAGTTGGTTTCTGTCTGTTGGTAATAGGCTGCTAATGAAAAGAAATTGTAGAATAAAGTCTGACACGTACTCCAAGTCAAGCCTTTATATTTGTTGTTTGAATAGTTCAACTGAATGTTTAATAATGAAGATGCGTGCTTTTGTTATCTCTAGGAATATGAGCGTGTTGTGTTTGTTTGCATCACAGAACTGCAGACATCTGTCTCTTAACTAGTTAGTTATCGTGGCCGTGAGCGTCGGCGAATCCTTACAATACTCCTCCAGTGAGAGCAGTTGAGATGAGTTGTCGTCTTTGTCTCCTATCCTGCAGCTCCAGCTCCCTCCTCTGTCAGCCGGAATACTGTAACTGTAATTCAGTGCTTCATCAGTATTTTAAAGCCTATAAATTATGGACTCTAACAGCCGGGGCGACGAAGGAAAAAAGATTTTGCTAGTCTGAGCTTTGCACGTATCAGAAAGACAGAAAAGTAGCCTGGATTGAGGGGGGATCGACTGATGCAGAGGAAGGCCGTAGTAATCTTCGATGATGTCTGCATTAAGAAAGACATACAAGTGAAGGGCAATTTGCATTGTGCTGCATTGCAGAGTGTGTGGGAGGATGTATGTGTGTTTGTGTGGGCGCGATTGTGTGTTTTGGCACGAGATTGTGTGGCAGCATAAGGGGAAAAATAAAGAAGTAAGTAGTAAAACTGAGACTTGTTACATGCAAAGATATTGAAAGAGGTTTAATGTCAAGATTTTTCTTAGGATTTTACATAAATCTTTTGGCTTCTTCTGACTGATGAACGGCACGCACACGGCTTCATACCTATATTGTGTAGATACACTTCTGTTTCGGGCAGAAACGGTAGACCTTGTGTACAGACACCTCAGCACTTTTAGGCTTTCACAGGAAGACAACACCTTTGTCTCCCATTTAATTAAAACATCACTTGCCAAGGTCACAGACCAGGAAACAGGGGCTCCATGTGTGTGTGTGTGTTTGCATGTCTGTGTGTTTTCCATTCTTGGTCCGACAACATTAATTAAAATGTGTTAGATAACCAAATAGAGCAGCAGAGGACAAACGATGGAGGTAGAAGAAGAAAAAAAGTGAGAGGAACTTGGGGAGAGTTTGAAGGAAAAAAGAGACAAAGTGAGGGAGGAAAAGAAAAAGGAAATCCTAAGGAATTGAATGCAAAATGAGAAGGACGAAAACTAAATTAAAGCGTTTTTGTTATTTTTTTTAAAAAAAGACCAAGAGATTTACGAAGATGGATGGAGATGGGAAAATGCATTCTAGCCTCAGCTAAGATCAGAGGAAGTGGGCGTGCAAGTGGGCAAAGGTCTAGTGGTTGAAAATGTTAGACTTTAATTCAGCGGCCAAAGCTGTTTATTCAGAAAACAGGTGTTTGGTTAGAAGGCGGCGCAGTTCAACTTGTAAAACACTAAACACGAACGAAGGGCCAGTTAAATGAACTGCAGAGAGACATCAGGAAAAAGAAAAAAAAAATCAGATATCATTACTGAGAGTTTACAACCACGGATCAATAAATGGTCTTGAATGAAATTATATGAAATTGTTCATTCAAATGTGAATAAATGTAGAGTCAAAATAAAGTCTTGTATCTCACCAAATATATATATATATATTTATATTCAGAGGAACCACTATATCCCCAATGCACTGGCCACTTACACTCTAGATTTTCTCACCGTGGGATGAATAAGGGACTTATTATTATTATTATTATTATTATTATTATTATTATTATTATTTATTATTATTATTATTATTATTAAAGTCCATGTATTGTAAGTCTGAGGATTTGAAAAAATTCTAAAAAAAATAAATAAATAGCCTGTATGTGCATTATGTCAGTAATAAAACATTGAACAAAAAGTGTATTCATAAGAAGGACTGCCAAAGACCTCAGCCTCGAACTTATACATGTTTGTACATTCACTTCTTGAGAATTGAAATATAGCCCTGCATTGGTCCATAGTCATGGCATATTTGAACAAACACAGGAGGGAGATGACAATTAAGACCTTTATATTTATCCTCAACAATCCATTACACTCCATAATACAATCAGTTATGGAGGCTAGGTTTTTTTTGTTTTTTTGTGAATACATCTGTCAAACAGGGCTATAAGTGTGTCAACAGGGGACTCCGACTCTGGGGTTAGCTTCATTTATCAGGTCCTGCTCATGGGAGGCTGCATCACAGCAGGATGTTGTGATGCTTTTCAGTCGGTGTTGTTGTGGTAATGGTAGTTTCACAGTAAAGAGCTGTTTGGGATATGTGGTTGCTGCACAGCATACCACCATCTCACTCCAGCACTTCTGTCCCTGTGGTTGTGGGTGGTACGACTGCACTCCACCTCAGCACTCAACAGTAATATTTCTTTTCCGTCATTAGCAAGGAGTTCATCTTTCCATTCGGTGCTGGGACTAGTTTTAAAATATAAACAAACACCATTTGGGAGAATGAGTTTGTAGAGATTACACCTCCAGGTGAATGCAAGGAGAAAAACTGCTGATTGTGTGTTAATGAGCCTTTAAGTGTACATGTTTTTGTTTGAAAATGTGAATTATTTCCATCAACTGGTTGTGTATCTTTTCTTCTTCACCAGGGTCAAAACTGTGAAATTCCCATCAATGCCTGCATTAGTTTCCCCTGTGCAAACGGAGGAACCTGCCACATCCAGTCTGGCCACGAAGATCACTACAGGTACAGAAATACCTCCTGATTGAATCAAGACTACTGTTCTTGTTTCATTCTGAAAAGGTTTCACCCAGAAGAAGCCACAGTTTGTGTCTGTTAAACTATTGCAGCCACTATGAACTTAATTCTTAAAATCAAAAACAGTTTTTAACTTGTGATATTATACACATCAGCCTCAGAGTTTTTATCTTAAAAAAAAAACTCTCTGCACAGTTTTTTCCAGAGTAAACATATTATTTTTATAGGTTACCATCATGTAAAATGATTTAGGGGCAGCATCATCACTTTTATTTTACCAAGGTTTTATTGTTTGACGCAAGTCCAGTTTCGTGCAAATAAATCTGGAATAACCATCAAGTTCATGTCGGACCTCGGCAGAGGGTTTCATCTGATCTACATGGTTTTGACTGCCTGTTCCAAAGGAGAGCAGGATTGTGGGATTATTTCTGCAGCCGTCAGATCGGTTCACAGCTGAGTATTGGTTGTAAAAAAAAAACTGATTTTTGTGTTTGTTTGCCAACACAAAACTGAAGTTTACATGTGAATGGCTTTTTTTAAAGAGCCAAAAATACACTTTCCCAACTGCATGTTAAAAATTCATACTATTTGAAATACACATTTCAAAACACAACTTTCATCTAAAGGATGATCCCAGTTACCTTTTCTCTAAAAAAAAAGTAAAGAAAGTTATATATGAGAAATTAGTAAAAAAAAAAACATTAAATCATGTGGCATTGTGTGACCAATCGTGACAAACTCTACACGTTTTGAGGATTTGAAATGACTTAATCAAGTTTAAAGCACAATTTTGTTTGTCATGGGACTCTGATATCCTTCTGTCTGAAAAATTAGGAGAAACGAGCAGAAACAAAAGACAAATATAACGCTGAAAAGGCCAGTAATTGTTTACAGTAGAAGAGGGACATGGTTAATAAAGAAAACTATGTTTGAATGAAAAGAACAAAAGCCCATAAAATACTCACATATTTCACACTCTTGATTAAAGCCTTCTGAAGAGGCACAGGGGCAGCTTTGGGGGCATTTCATATATAATAAACTTTACCCTGCCTTTTTTAATAGCATCATACTTGTCTGTGCCTTTAACCAGTGTCGTCAACTGGTCCACAATTATCATCCTACGCTCATGACCAGCAGCCACTTTGAGCAAAACTGTCATTAATAATGTTGTAACTGCAGACCCTTAATGCAGCCTGGGCCATTTCAAAGGTTTTCTTATGCGTTTAACCTTTAACATCCCGCATGCTAATGAAATTAGGATTCTCCTTACCCTTTACAGACACAAGTTAAAAAAAAAAAAAAAATGAAAAAATAAAATATCAGTGCCCTCTGAGGGAGATGGGGAAACAGCCTTTGACATTTGGACATGTGATGTCATCAGTTGGGAATATATAAGTCAATTAGTCTTGGTCCTTAATGGGAAACAAATATGTATTTTAAATGTCAGAAGATGAGATTGGACTGGTGGATCAGCAGTTTCTGAGTCAGCACCAACGTTGCTGTTTTCATTTATATCCCGTTTTGCCTTTCGTCCCTCCAGTAACTTAACGGCTTTGTCTCATTCTATTTTTACGACTACTGCACTTTTCGTCTCCCCTCCTCCCTTCTCTTCAGTCTCTACTGCAGTTGCATCAGAATGAGGAACATAAACACACTTCTAGTCTAGTGTATTTGAGCAACCGAACACAGATTTTAACGAAAACTTTAAGGTACAAAGAAATTTGATTTCTCCGCAGCCAACAGCAGTCTTTGGTCGACAACACTGTATTGTCCTGTTTATGTTGTGCTTGTCTCAAATGAGACACTGGTCTGGACTGCAGGCAGAGTAGATGAATGTGTGAGTAGACGAGGAGTTCCAAAAACGTTTCCATGCCAAGGTCCCCTGACCGCATTAACTTCTAGCCAGGAATCCCTTTGTAATAAAGCAAAAAACAATACTGCAAAATTTTTATTTGTTTAGAATAAGACAATTATCGAGAAACATGCGCTAGCTACAACACACTAGCATGAATAGTAGAGCGGTTTTGTAATAAGCGCAAACTGCCAGGCCTGCACATATTATGATGTTGTCATGCCAAAGTTGCAGCTGGGACACAAGGTGCATTCAGGTGCCATCCGAAACTTGAGAATCTGATTATTATAAAATTCAGGAACATTGTTCTAAATAAATAATTTTTTTTTCCCTTTTTTTCCCTCCAATTTTCTGAACCATTTTTTTTTCTTTTTTTCCCTTTTTTTCCCCTCCAATTTTCTGAACACCCAGACTTTCTGCTCCAAACAGTTGGAGTAGAAAACTTTTTTCTTTGTTTTATTTTCTTTGCTGAATTATTTCATTCACTTCATATTTACTGTAAGAGATTTAAAAATCGCCGCTAAACAAGGCCGTGATTAAATACTTCTGTACTGTATGTTTGTCACCATTGTAAAAAGAAAAATGCAAATAGATGAAAGAAGATGGTTGAGGGGTCAAGTTTTAGCAAAGATAAAAGCAGAGGGACAAATAAGGGAACAAGATGAAATAAAAAAAAGAGGGAGTGAGAGGAGGACGATGATGGATGGAGGGGAGGAAGAGCAGGAAGCTTTGATAATTTCTTTACTTTGGCCCAAGTGGGCGGTGTCCAGCTGCAGTGGCATCAAACGAAGTTTATCTCAGCTTCTATATTTATTTATCTATCTCTTTTTTTTTCAGTCGGTGTCATTTGAAGTTCCGCTGTATCTTATCGCTCGGTAAAAGCTGGAGGAACTTTGGCCTTTCATGTTTATTTGTGGCCCAGTATTGACATCTGTCCTGAGTGATCTGATCCAGATCTGGCCTCCCCCACCCTGTATTCAAATACTCACAGACGTCATGTCTGTCCCTGAGAACAAAATGATGTTTATAACACTCTGATTGTACAGATGTGTTTGATGCCCACGTGGTTTCAGAGGAGGGAGAAAGAATCAGACCGAGAGAGAGCGAAAACATAGCTGTTGTAAAGCAGTGTTTGTATTCTCATGGGCAGCACTGGGAGGAGTTGAACCATCTCATAACATTTTTTTAATTTTGTTAAAACAACGTTTTCACGTGTTAACTGAGAAAGGGAAATCCTTTCAATTCCATTTGTGTCTACAGTAGATACAGGCTTTCAGTCTAAATTCTGAAAGTCACATTCTGAAAAATACCTTTTTTTATTTCCCTCTGTTTGCAGCTGTGTTTGTTTACCTGGCTTTGAAGGCCAACGTTGTGAGGTCAACCCAGACGACTGTGAAGACAACGACTGCGAGAACAACTCTACCTGCGTGGACGGAGTCAACAACTACACCTGCATCTGTCCACCTAATTACACAGGTACACCCACCCTCAAATGATGTGGAACTGACACGTGCACTCTTTTCACTGATTCATTAGCATTGATAGTTTGATGATGAATGACGGAACTGATACTCCCATCACTACACAGAACAATAAGCCTTGGAAATGGGATGAAGGTGAAGAAAACGTAGGACAAATAATGCGAGGGGCCAGAGGTAGAGAAGGCGGGGGTGCAGTTCAGGAAGTCTAAGTCCAAATGCTGACTAAGAAATAAAGTTTTTCTTCGTCCGCTAAAATACACACACACACACCTGCCATTCATATTGTTGGCATAAAGAAGTTGCACACACTCTTCGCCATCTGACCACAAATACACACTGGGGATCTGATATCCCACTCAGCTCAGTGAACCGTGGCCTCATCATCAGGTGTCACATTGAGAGTACACTCTTTTCTGCTCCGTTCTGCTTTCTACCAACTCAGCAAACGGAACCATCATGTCATTTTTTCCAGCAGAGGGAATAAATCATGCCTAAAGGTCACGAGACCTTTTTAAACAGCTGATATAAGGTTTCTACATCCATGGAGTTTCAGTCCAAAATGTGGGGAGAAAAAATGTTCTGTGCCTGAATGTGCTCAACTAAATTAAAATGTCAGAGTATCTTTTGGACAAAGTGATTTGTGTGCAGTTTTATACTGGCAGAGTAAGAATGACAGAAAGGTCTAGGGGCCGAGAATGTGTTAGGATTTCTCTGCTGGGAATCTAGAAAAGGAAGTTAAGAGATTCATTTTAAAATGTATTTTGTAAGGATCAGAAAGTCAATAAACACATCATGTCCTGAGTGTTTAAGAGTTTTCATGCCTCCAACAAGGGATCACCATTATGGTCTAAATGCCAAACCCAGAGTGTCATTTTTTCATTATTTATATGCTAAAATTGACATTTTCATCGAAACTCTTCCCCACGACACAACCTGGATGGGATCATAAAATTCTGACAGAACGTAAATGTTTTCTGCCTTGCACTTTAACTTTCCTCAATCATTATTTAGCTAAACTGCCAACCCTTTCTTCACTCTTTTCACGCAAATAAAATGAAATCATGGACAGGAAAAGAGAAACAGAAGCAGAATGACATGATTGGAGGTTGTTTTTTTTTTTTACTTACGCATGTGTTTTTTTAGAGGTTGAAAATGCTGTGCAGCAGTGACCTCAGAGTCAACCTGTGCCCAAAATAGAATCAGCAGTACAATGCAACATGACCAGCTTTCTTAGGAGACACTCTTATCTAATTCAGTTGATGATCGACTTCTGTTTCAAGCTATTTCTTGTCATTCTTCCATCCTCATGACGTTCACTATAAATGATGCCATTACAATGTTTTTAACAGAGAAAAACATTCTGTCGTTCTCTTAACAGGCGACCTCTGTGAAGAGGTGGTTGACCCCTGTCTACCTGGCTTTGACCCTTGTCAGCACGACTCAAAGTGTGTCCACATGGGCCGCAGTTACAGGTGAGTGACAGGCCCGTATGGAGATTGGCAGTTAAAAGGTCAGGGGTCAGACCACGGAGAGTGACATCAGAGTGATAGGAGCGGCAGGGTCAGAGTTGGAGCTGGATTCTATTTGAACCTGAGTGACTGCTGTTAAACACTGCTGTCCTCAGATGAATACACATCGGGACAGATCGGTGTAAACACATCACTGAGGCGGACGTGTGTTTATGAGAAAACTGTGATCCACCTTAACTCAAACCATACAGATCGCATACTTTTCAACTTCAAAAAGCCTCTGATAGCGTGTTTTACTGCTCTATAGCATGTGATTTCACATGATACATACTGTACGTGACATGTGTAAGGTTAGAAATGGATGAGAATTGGTGCAAAATAGGGAGAAGGTTCTGGGATCTCCACAGCTATTTGAAACAAATTGTATTATTATAAATTATTATTTTTACCAACTTGGCTATATTGAAAAACCTCTAGCTGTTTTGTTGGTTAATCATTGTCTAAATTTGCTTTATTTTTGAGGAGGAATAGAAATTCCAGGAACACTTTTATGTCATCCTTTTTTAGGTACATTTACAGGAACTATTACAGAATAAATATTATTATTATTATTATTATTGTTAATAATAATAATACATTTTTAATACATATACTTTGTTTAATACATTTCTATTTTGAATGGGTAATTCAATAGAAAGAAACAAGAATGTGGCCATATGTATTTTTTTTAAATTAATTTAAAAATAATTCAATTAATAAAAAACATAGATATTAACTAAATACAAATTGCAGTAACAGGACAATATTTAAGTGTTTACATCTGACTTTAAACCAGGTCTATAAAGCCTATAATGCATTCTCTTTCCTCAGAGCCATTACAGGAAACAAGTGTTACTTGACTGCACCTGTGCCGTAAAAAGTCCTAAAACTCTTTCTCCTCTCGGTTAAACAATCATGATGCTGACTCTGACTTTCCTGCCGTCTGTCTCCCTGCAGGTGCGATTGTTTACCGGGCTACGTGGGCCAGCAGTGTGAGCAGGATTACAATGACTGTCTGGAGAATAAGTGTCAACACGGAGCCGAGTGTGTGGACGCCGTCAACGGCTACACCTGCGTCTGTAAGGAAGGTTTCAGGTGAGAGCGCAGGAAAGGAGCGTATGGACATGCACAAATAGATTGTTGCACAGACAAACAAAAGGGGATGCTAATGATGATGATGCGCAGTGAGTTGATGGAGCAACCGTATATAACTTGTGTCAAATAGAGCATTCAGGACAGTTAGCAGCAGCATCTGCTCTAGCATCAGGCTCGGAGTGTGGTCCAATCAGGGCTCTCCTGTTTAGTTTTTATTGGCATTCAGTTGTGTCTCCCATGACAATTTGGAGACAGATGAGTAGTCACTTACCTTAGCGAGCCAGAAAAATGGTTCAGGAATTGAGAAAAGAAATGAATACTCTGATTGGCTGCGACATGGTAGGTGAGCCAAACATTTTAATTATGCATGTAAAGGAAATTTTTTTAAAATACAACATCTAATAAATGATGGATAAAGAATCTCACCTTCATTTGTTTGTGTCCTTCAAGAATGTTATTTTTTAAAATATACCCACTCGGTCTTTAAGTAATTGCACAACTCTTGACACAAGAAATGACTCTAATTAAATATTAATAAAATACATTATCTTCACTCTCAACTGCTTCTCCTTTAGTGGGCTCTTCTGTGAGAACCCTCCGCCAATGATCTTGCTGCAGACCAGCCCCTGCGACCAATCAGATTGCCAGAATGGTGCCCAGTGCATCGTGACAGCCGGGGAGCCCGTGTGCCGCTGCATGCCCGGTTTCTACGGCAGCAAATGTGACAAGACGGCCACCGTTCACTTCCTGGGCCGTGATGCCTTTGTGGAGTTGCCCGGCGTGAAGCTCCGCCCCACAGCTCATATTTCATTACAGGTACAGTCCACTGTCACAGAGCCGTAAAGATCCGACAAGAATTCAGAAGGAATTTATGGAGTCATAAACAGCATCGTATTCTGCTCACCTTATGAGTGAAATACCTTAGACTTTATTGTGTGTTAAAACATTGGTTATAAAAAACACATATATATATATATATATATATATATATATATATACTGTATATCTATACATCACACACTAGAGATCCACACAATAGCGCGCTGTGTC